ATAACTACACTTTTGACATTCCAAATAACTAGCACATGCATGATAATACCATAGATAAGGGGAAGGAGGATGATGGAGAAATGAGGTAAAAAATACATTTTCGGGCCAGCCCGGTGGCGCACTGCTACAGTGCGCCGGTTGGGAGCGTGGCAGTGCTCCCATCGAGGGTTCGGATCCCACATACAGACCAGTTCCCGCTCACTGGCTGAGCGAGGTGTGGGCCCAGCGCCGAGGGTTGCGATCCTGTTGCCGGTCCCGGTCCGGTACGGGCGCGACACTGAGGGTTGCGATCCGTTGCCGGACACGAAAAAAGACAAAAAAAAAAGAAAAAAAAAATACATTTTCAATTTCTCAAGATGTGTATTAATGTCATATTCTATGAAGCACTGTGAGCCTCCAAGTTCTCAAAAACTTAATTAACAAAATGAAGTATCTGAATACCTAGGAATATATCTAATAAAAGAAGTGAAGGGCCTCTAAACTGAAAACCAGAAAATATTATTGACAGAAAATAAAAAGACAAGGGGAATACCATGATCACAGACTGGAAGATTCAGTACTGTAGAGACATCAATTCTACCCAAGTTTATCTACACATTCAATGTAATCCAATCAAAATCCCAGATTTTTTTGTGGAATTGGAAACACTGATTCTAAAGTTTATATGGAAATATAAAGAACCAAGGAATTCTTGAAGAACAACAAAACTGGTAAACTTATTCTAAATATCAAGATTTATTTTAAAGCTATAGCAATTAAGACAAATAGAGCAATGGAATCAGAGAGAGCCCAGAAACAGACCCACACATATATGATCAACTGATTTATGACTAAGGTGACACTGCAATGCAATGGGGAGTGGATGTCTTTTTGATAAATGATGCTGGATCATCCAAATACCTATATGGAAAAATATGAACCTTGGTCTTTACCTCATCCCATATACAAAATCAATTCCAGATGAACCGTAGATTTAAATGTGAAAGCTAAAACAGCAAAACTTTCCTGAAAAAAAACCTCAGAGAATATATTAATGACCCTGGGACAGATAAAGATTTCTAAAACAGGACACAAAAAGTACCAATCATAAATGGGGAGAAAATTTTATAAATTAGACTACATTAAAATTAAGAATTTCTAGTCACCAAAAGACACCCTTAAGAGTGAAAAAAGGCAAGATACCAAGTGAGAAGAAGTATTTGTAATACATTTAGCTGACAAAAGATTCTTGTCTACAACATATAAAAAAAATCCAAAAATCAATTAGGAAAAAAAGCAAACAAGAAAGTGGGTAAAAGAGTGGACCAGGTACATTACAAAAGAGCATATTCAAATGGACAATAATCATATATAAAAGTGTTTCAAAAAGATGCTTAGTCATCAGTGAAATACAAATTAAACCACATGGAGGTACCACTACACCAGAACAGCTAAAATAAAAAAGACAGACACTACTAAGTCTGGCTCCTGCTGGTGGCAATGGAAAGTGGTACAATAACTTTGGGAAACTGGCAATATCTAGCAAAGCTGAATATTTGCATCCCTTTTGATCTTGAAATTCTGATCTTAGGTATACTCTCAACAGAAACGCATACATACGCTCACCAAAAGATATTCACAAAAATATTCATAGCACCACTGTTGTAAAAGCCCAAACCAGAAACAACTCAAATGTCCATCTGTAGTAAACTGGATAAATAAATTGTAGTATATTCATACAATGGAATACCACAATAGAAAAATGAGCATTGCGCCGGGCTGGTGGTTAGCTCAGTTGGTTAGAGCATGGTGCTAATAACGCCAAGGTTGCGGGTTCGAAAAATGAGCATTGCTACAGATGGATACAACCCCATCCATGAATGAAGACAGACAGACAAATCTCACAAACATAATACTGAGGGAAACAGACCAGACACAATAATGTATGTACTATTGAATTCCATTAAATAAAAATTCAGATAAAGACAAAATTTATCAGTGGTGTTCAAAGTCAGGATACTGGTTATCAGGGTGTGTATTTACATGGTGGGGGTGGGCAGAGTAGTGATAAAGAAAGTTTGGGGAATGCATTTGGCTACTAGTTATATTCTACTTTTTAAAGTCACAGTTGTATTCACTTTGTGAAGATTCATCAAGCTATACATTTGTAATGTGTGCACTTTTCGGTGTACATATTATATACTTTAATAAAAAAAATTACTAAAAAAATCAATTCCTGGAGGATAACAAATTAGGATAAGAGAAAAAGCTTTTAAAGGGAAGACTCAAGGATTAGAAATAGAACTAAACTAGAATAAGTATGCTCATTTTTCATCTGTTCTCTTTCGGATCCCATTCAGTTTCATAAAGCCAGTGCATAAGGACAAACCCAAGGCTACCTTCCAGTCTGCAAACAACAACTTCCTCAGGTTCCTAAATTCTTAAAAAACCAAATAAAGTAAGAGTTCAGGGTGAGGAAAATACCAAATGAGCAGTTCAGGGTAGTTTTTCACTAAATATTCTACCCCACACTAAAGCAATGATAAGATCTGGAGGATCTATCTTGTGATAAAAAGAATATGAACCTTTTACACACAGTTTCCTGAACTTATGTCTAAAGCTAAAGGGCCGAGCCCCTGGCGCACTTGGGAGAGTGCGGCACTGGGAACACTGCGACGCTTCTACCGCGGGTTCGGATCTCATATAGGAATAGCCAGTTGGCTCACTGGCTGAGCGCGGTGTGGGCGACACCACACCAAGGGTTGCGATCCCCTTGCCGGTCACGAAAAAGACAAAAAAAAATTTTTTTAAATAAAAAATAAAGCTAAAGAAGCAAAAATACTCCTTTCAGCTGACATGTTTAGGTCACCAGGGTAGCAGATCACATAGATATGGGGCCAGAGCCAGCGCGGTGTGGGCGACACCACACCAAGGGTTGCGATCCCCTTGCCGGTCACGAAAAAGACAAAAAAAAATTTTTTTAAATAAAAAATAAAGCTAAAGAAGCAAAAATACTCCTTGCAGCTGACATGTTTAGGTCACCAGGGTAGCAGATCACATAGATATGGGGCCAGAGCCACAGCTGGTAACAAAGAGGATACATCTGCTTAGAAGCTTCCTCTTTGTAATATATGTATATTACCCAAGAAGCCTGAAGAAGTGGTGACAACCAGGGTAGATGGCTCATCAAGGACTTGAGATCAACAACGTAGACACACACTGGCATAATTAACAAGTATAGCATCTCATTTTATTTAATAACAGAAGCAGTTTTCGTGTTGTACATATTACATCATTAAGATAAAAATCCTTATCATTTAATATAAAATTAATAGTTCCTGACCTTACTCGAAAAGCTACTTGAAAAGCACATAATGCAATGCATCAATGTTCAGTATTACCATATTTAAAAGATTACTGAAAAAAAATTGCATAGTATGACAGCCAGAAAGTTTGTAATATTGTAGAAACAGTCTGGACTGGGAGTCAAGAAATCTAGCACAAAACCTAGCAGATAGCAGACAAACAATAAATGACAAACACATTCACGATCTAGTGCTGTGAAACTTTGGGCAAGTTGTTTCTTGTCTCACTGTATCCATTTCTTCAATGCTAAAATTAGACTGTAATAAGGATTAAATGAGTTATTAGACATAAAATGCTTAGAACAGTCCTTGGCACAGTCAGTACTCAATAAAAAGTGAACACTATTACTGGTTCTGCCACTAAACTCGGGTGTAATCTCCAACAAATTACTAACGGTTCTGGAATTCTATAAAATGACAGATCTGGTGATGGATGCTCTCTATCGCTCCTTTTCTGCTCTAAAAAATATTTATTACTTTTTTTGTTTTTTGTTTTTTAAAATATATTTAAATTCCAATTCTCAAACATGTTACACTTGGGAATAATTCCCCGCCCCACACACATACATTAAAACTTTACATACTGCCATATATTCCAGAATACAGTATACTACAGAAAATACACCAAAATACTATTAGTGGTGGGAGACTTAGTATATGTGGACGTGATTAAACATCCAAACTATCATTTAAGGTGGACACTGTAACTTGAACACCTATCAAAAAAAGGAACATACTCAGAGCAATGAAAAGAGCCCTGAATGAGGATTAAGATTTTGTTCTACTCCACCTGGCACTGCTAACAACCTTAAAACAGTAAGTTACTCCTCTGTTTGCTTATTTGTAAATTGAAAAAGGTTGGGATGGATGGCCACTAAGATCCCTTTGAGACTTTCTTTACTTTTTTCCTCCTTCTAAACTAGAATGTTGGCAATTATTATTGTTACTAAAAAAAACCAAATCTATAGCACCAATAAATGCAAGTACTGGCCAATCTCCTAGCCTAAACTGTCCCTACTTTGGTAGTGGGTGACAATGGCATCAGCCTTTGAAATAGGCCCACATTCACTTTCAAGAATCAGTGGACTTGATTCTGTCTCTTCTTTTTAGAATAATTTATATTCTATACCACAGAAAAGGGTAGAAAATGGAAATTAACTCAATATATGCACTGATTGCTAATTTTCTCACATAATTACACAATAACTGATAATTCCTTTGTACTATAATATATTTAACAGCCAACATTTATTCAGTACCTACTACATGATGGACCCAGTGCCAACCACATTTAAAGCATTATAAAGCAAGAAGACAATTTTAGGTAATTTTAAAGTAAGAAAACTTTTAAGGATTGGAAAATACATGGCTAAATTAATTTAATTAGATCCAGATAAATCCCTGCAAAAAAGGACAACAGAATCTTAATTATTTCATTAATAATCTTTAAGAAAAAATAGATAAGTAGAAACTGAAATTCAAACTCTGAGATTCACATCAAGAAAGTAATTTACTCTTAATGCTCCCAAATGGTTTCATTATATTCTTACCTTTTCATTTCAAACCTACAGCAAAGTTAGGAACTAAGAACAGAAGCCTGTCTAAAATATATAATTAAAAGTTATTTTTTAAAAAATAAAACTAAAAACCTCTTACCTGAGCATGAAAATTGGACATAGTCGTTGTCTCTATATCTTTCTTTCCCAATATCTCCATTTTCACTGGTGAATTGGGAAAATTAAATGAAAAGTAGTCTAAAAGGTCAGGTAAATAAGTAGCTGCCCCATGAACAACACCCATTACATAAAAAGCTGCAGAGTTTTCATTTTCACTGAACACTAGACCCACAAACTCTTCTGCAAACTTCTGCATCTCCACAGGAGACAGGTGGGAGAGTTCATTACTGTAGGCATGGATAACTGATGCGCCTCCATTAGGCTGGTGCTCAACATGAATGAGCTGTTTGAACTCCAAGCTGTCCAACCTTTTGAGATTATTCTGAACTCGTGGCTCCTTTAATGAAACAAATGGAAATTCACTGTTCTCTGGAATTTTGCAATCATAGTTCTTGGTATCCAAATTCTTTCCAATGTAATCCTTTATGCTGTCATTTAGGATGCCTTTGGCTTCTTGATCTTCAACATCAGATAGCAATCCTGAGCAGATGGTCTGAATAGATTTGCTATACATTTTCGGACGCTTCCGTTTTTCATTCTCTTTGTGTTTCTTCTTCTTTTTCTTCTTTACCTTTTTAATTTGTAAGTCTTCCACATTTGTTTTTGGTTTCTCCTTCCCACCTGTTGGGAAAAATTTTTTTTGAAACTCCGTACTTTAATTGCTTAAAAAACCATGCTTTAGAAACTGTTTTGTAATAAATACAGTTTACTTCTTAAAATTTACTCGGAATTAGTTTTATATTTGGGACTCATTTTACACAGTATCAATAATCAAAATTTAGCCAGCCTCTCTCACTACACACACACACACACACACACACACACAAGGGCTTAGGACAAAGTTACACCTATAGTTACACCTATAGGCTACCATTCTGACATACATAGTGTTTACTGAAGCAATGAGATGAATGAATGTTTTAGAAAGAAAAATCTTCAAGTTTTAAAAGCAGAAATTCAGAAATGGAAAGCTGAACAAAGTTCAATATGAACAATGCCCTCCAGATTTCCCACTGATATATATTATCAATTTTACTTTATCTTAGGTCTTAAAAATGTCATCTAGATGTCAAGATTTATAAACTATAAAGGGAGAAAAATATTTGCATAGTGTAACAGCAACAAAGACAGCAATTCCTAGCTTTTTACCGAATTTACTCCTTAGTAAGCTCCTCTTGCATCTAAAATAGGCTATTTCAGATTCACCACAGTTTACAAAGTTCCCAGTGAAGACCCAACAAGGTACCATAAAGGCGATGACAAAATTAGAATCATCTCTCGTGTCCTAAGCTCAAATGATACTCAAGTACCGGTAAAGAGTGAATAAAAAGGTAAAAGACATGTGTCACTATAAGCTTGTATACCAAAAAGCTTCTGTGAACAAAGCCAAGTAGATTCTAGGCTCAGAAATTTAGAAATCCAAAGGAAAAAAGATTAATCCACAAATGCTACAGAGCTCTTGAATCTAAGTGTACATATAAATAATTAACATTATCACAGTATATTCACTTCTATATAATAACAAAAATAGAAAAAAGTAAACATCCTCACAAGAAAGTATTGCTTCTTAATATGAAAAAGCCATTAGGCTAACAGTTGAGAAAAGAAGGAATTCATTGTTTCCACCTTTTATTTCACTTTTATACTAACCTACAATTAATGAAATCCTCCCAACCTGCTTCTTTACCTAAATTTTTCCATCTTTACATATCTCTTTTATTCCTTAGTAAGATGTCCTGCCTATTTACAAAAATAAGTCGCTCCCATCAACTCCAAACCCCTTGCTTACAGTCTCTCTCCTCTTCTTCTGACCACCAAACTTCTCATAAAGAATCATCTATACTCAGTGTCTTTCCTTTATTACCTTACCATTCTTGATGCTTAAATTCTGGTTCTGCTTTCAGTCTACTCAAAATTGCTTTCCCAGAATGTTGAAATACCAAATCCAATGATGTTTTCTCAAATCCTGATCACTCCAAGATTTGATCTCTCCAAGATTTGACAGAAAAATCCAGCTCATCCTTGATTACTTTGGCTTCGATATCAATGTCTTAATTTTTAGTTTAACAGCTGCATAACTGTTTCTCTTCCTGAATGATAGAGCCATATTAATCTTTCTATAATTTTTATATATTGTTTTAATCACATTCATCCCTTGGCTCAACTGCTTTCAGGAGCTCTCTGCTTACCTATAATCTCTTCAGCCTGGAATCTAAAGAGAGTGCCTTCAAATATCTCATGCTTTGTTCAAACTGCACTACTTATAATCTCTTATCAAACATACCTCCTCCCAGGGCTGGCCAGTTAGCTCAGTTGGTTAGAGTGCAGTGTTATAACACCAAGGTCAAGGGTTCGGATCCCAGTACTGATAAAAAAATTTGAAAAAAAACAGTCCTACCTTATCTTTCTACTATTGGCAAAAGCATTCCTCTCCCTAAAATATCCTTGCCTTAGTCAGTACCTACCACTGAACTCTTTCTTACACGTCCTTTAAAGACACCTCTCACATCATTTCTTTCATGTTACTTTCTCTCATCTCTCTAGTTAGGACTGAAATCACTTCACTCCTAATTCACAAAAAAGTTTTTTTTTTCCTCATAGTATACCTGTTTATCATATGTCCTTTAGACATATGATATGAATAACTTTTATATGAATTCAGAGTGAAATGATACTTCTTTTCCATCACTGTATCTCTCACAGTATCGGTATATTGCTACACATAAACACTTAATGAATCTATGAATAAAAAGACCTGTCTCACTAACAGACTACCTGAGGTTTATAGGTTTTTCCCCTTTCTACCCTTCGTCAAGTTTTTCCATATATGAATACCACTAAATCCTGTCCCTGAAAACAACAAAAATTATCTCAAGTTGATAACAATTCTCTATAAGGGAAGTTTAATGTTAATAATAAATTATCACTTCTAAAAATTCACAGAAGTAATAGTTCATAAGTATGCAATGAAGACCAAATTAGCATCATCGTGAAAAGCAAAAATAGAAATCTGTAATCATTATTCACTGCATAGGTTTGTAAAGCCATAAAAGGCAAAGTGTTAATTGTCTAAAGAGTCTATCTCTAGTTAAGAAATATATTTGAATAATGTTAACAAATTCATACTTGCTGCCTAGGTATGATCAAAACATCAGATTCATGTTAATACCTTAAGAACAAAATTAATAACCAAAAAAGGTAAAACAGTAGACTAACCAACATGAAAAATAAAAGAGGTTTATATACGTAAGCAAAATCCACATAAATCAAGGAAAAAAGATATTAATGAAATAAAAAAAACAGAATTTAAAAAAGTATAAAGGGCAGAGATATGATTAATAACATTCCTAAACCCTACAACTGAAAATACATAAACAAGTGCACAAATTAAAAGGTCTGCCAAAATAATCAAAATTTCATTTGAATGAAAATGTTTAATATCCTACCACACTTACACCTAACACATTTTAAAAAGTTAAAACAGTAAATATCTAGTCACTAGAACACATGTTACTTTGAAATAAAATAGGCACAACAATTAGTCTATTTCCTAGTCAAGAGGATGAACCAAAAAAGAAGTACTATAATCATCAGAAACTGAAAAACGCATACTAGTAAAAATTCAGTTCAGAGATTCTTATATTGATCATCAAGGAGTTAAATTCCCATGGCAACCTACTCTGTAATTAAATACTAAAGTGAACACAGTGTGCAGAAGGGATAATATACCTGAGACTGCTCTGCTTAGAAAGGCTTGCTTGCAAGGCTGACCCTTGGGAATTTGTATTTTGGGAGGGTTCCCACCATTCCCTGATAAGAGTGGTTCACTGTACCTAAAGTGTTTATGCTAACAATATAGTTTATGATGAACACTTGTTTTCCTTCTGGGAGCCTGGAATTTTGATTTGTGCTAGGCAAATGGTGCCTACACGACCAACCCTCAATAAAAATCCTTGGCACTGAGTCTCTAATGAGCTTCCCTGGTAGACATTTCACACGCGTTGTCACAATTCATTGCTGGAAGAACTAAGCGCATCCTGTGCAACTCCACTGGGAGAGGACTCTTGGAAACTTATGCCTGGTTTCCTACAGACATTGCCTCTTCGCTTATTTTACTTGGTATCCTTTCTACTATAATAAATCATAGCCATGAGTAAACTATGTGCTGAGTACCATGAGACCTCCTAGAGAATCACAGAACCTGAGGGTAGTCTTGGGAAGGACATAGGTAAGATTCATTCCTTACATTAAACCAAACTGAGGCACTAGCATTCACTAGGATAGAGTTGAAGAGCTTCATATCATCTCACTCATTTCCTGTCTCTACATATGAAATGCAGCAGATGTATGAGAGTACTACATAAAGTTCATGAGAAAATAGAATTAAAAAATATGAACCTTCCCATGAACACTTTGATGTTCCCTAGTATATACAGAAAATTTTAAAATACTTTAAGGAAATAAGACCATTTGGAATATCAATGTTTTTCTCTCATACTAAAAAGTATTTAAAGTATACATTGCTCTAAATCTAAAATTCTTCAAACAGAACCCAATAAATCAGACCCAATAAAGGATCCCAACAGAAAGGACCTATGGCAGAAAGAATGGAATTGCTGTCCAAGTAATCTAGACCCACAAAAAGTATAAGATTATAAATACAAGGGTTTATGGGAGGACAGCCCCCCACAAAGCCACAGACAAATGCACTTAATGGACCACAAACCCCTCACCCACCCACTCCCACACACATGAAGAGTCAGAGCAAGAAAGAGAGAGCCAGACTGAGAGTGAGAGAATCTGAGAGACTGAGACACACATACAATCAGAGAAAAAGAGACACACACAGAGATAGAAAAAACCACACACAGAAACAGACACAGACAGCTGTTTGTTGTTAATGGCTAATTATGAAAAAACACTTTAAAAATCACAAATTCACTGGCATTAATTTCTACCACTAACCTTAGTAAACTTTTAGTTTTAGTAATGTGAGAAATAAAGGTTACCCAGAAAAACTGAATCTGATTTCATATCTGATGTGGGAATTGATAAACTTAACTCCATCACCATACATAGAAAAAAAGTAGTAATTAGCTTAGCTATTTTCAACCTTTAATCTTTGAGAAACGACTTTGCTTTTTTTTTTTTTTTTTTTTTCGTACTGCAATGTTGTCACTCATTCCATGATTTACCTAACTGTGACCTTTGGTACACTACCAATAACCTTAGACACTTCTTTTAACCCCCATTCCATCTGCTCACCAGTAAGCTTCTTTGATATGTTATAATGATGAACTTTACCCCCCCAAAATAATATAATCATAACATGTCTGTTCTTACAACTTATCCTTAATAAACATTAAAATGGCTGAAACATATACATATGCTCAGAAAGTTACTGGTGGACTTTTAGTGCAAAAGGATGACACACACTAAATAAGTTTATGTTTCAAACTTATTTGTTCCTTTAAACTATTTCTAAAAGAGCAAAAATCCCCTTTTATCAGTGAAAAACATTTACCAGATTTTTGTATTAATAAAAAACTTTTTAGCCTGTATATAATTGTGTATATATCAAACCTGACACCATTTTTAACGAAAACCTGGAGGAAATACCAGTGTGGAATAGAGTCAGCATCTATTTTAGATTTCCAAATGCCACCATCAAACAATCAATGCCTGTGTGTACCACAGTTTACAACATTAGCATTATCAGAAGAATAAAATTATAAGGAGAGAATAAAGTTGGCCATGAAGGAAAAAGGGGCACACAGTAGTAAATAATAGTATATTGCCCTCATCATATTGAATCTATTGTTGCTCCAGGACACCAACAATAAAGGATGCCTTCCCTGACCATCAGTTTGCTTGGGAAATGGTCACACACGATGAACAAATTGTTTTTGCTGGATAATAACAATAGCAAACACAGTGCTTACAATGGGACAGGCACTGTTTTCCAAGTGAATTATGTTCTTATTCATTTAATTATCTATATACTACACATTGAGAAGAGATAGTTCCGGTTTTGTTGCTTTTTAATCACAAAAGATAATCTTTCATACATGTTCATAAAAAAGACTCATATTCAATTATTGAGTCTCTGTGAGCCAGATACCATACCTGGCACTTTCCCTCATTTAATCTTCACAATACTGTAATATAGTAATTATTACTTACCTTCATTGTATGTAAATACAAGTACATTTTTCCTAAATTTTTCCACAGAAAAATAAAGAAAATATTTAAAATTATTCCAAATCTATCTCATTCTTTTTCCTGCAGCCTTCTAGCTTCAGTTTGGTTCAGTTCAAAACTCCATCTAAATTTTTTGTCTACCTCAAAGTCAACGTAATATTATATAGTCCTAGGAAATGTCCATTTTATTGGCTATTTTCAATTTTATTTGCATGTATACTCTCTAGATTGACATAATTCACATTAATGGTATAATAGGGAGCCAGTATTCAACCGAGAACATATGAGCTTTTATAAAGTATTTCTAGGATTTCTTCTTAGGTGACAGAAATTTACATCACTATACATTTAAATGGATAGGAAAATGACTATTTGACTAAACCAGTAAAAAATGACTATTTAACTAAACCAATAGGGAAAATAGTTAAGTAAACATTTCAATCAAGGGGGAGGGGGAGGGAGATTGGAGGACAATTGGGTGGTGGACACGAGGTACAAAAGTAATTTCTGGTAATGGGTATGCTGCCAGTATGAATCTGGCCCTCACATCATGGGCATGAGGGTGACAATTAGCTTTGTATTTCATGAATATTCATAATAATAATAAAATTAATTATTTTTTTAAAAAACATTTCAATCATTAATTAGCAGCTATACAGCACTAGGGTGCTTAGATTCAATTCCTGCTTCAAAGGCTTACAATCTAGTAAGACAATATACACATAAAAATACAGAACAAAAGGATCATTAGTAACAGAAACATAACAAAAGAAAGGACCATGAGCATTAAGTAACCATCAGCTTAAGCTCCGACATGTTTCTTCAGCATTGACAGAATATCATAAAAATTAAAGTTCTGACATGTAGAAAATAGAGCTTAGGTAAAGTGCCACCAAAGAACATCTGGAAACATGACACAGTATGGAATAAAAATACAAGGGGTCTTCAAACAGTTCATGGAAAGATTCGTATTATCTTTTAATTCTACCTTTCCACGAACTTCTTGAAGTACCCTCACATAGAGTCTGAAACTCTGTTTATCTTAACATAAACTTACCATGCACATGCAGTGTTGTAGCCTTTTTTCCCTTATGCAGATATAAAGGCTTATAAACACATAAATTCGATATCAAGTTAATCGAGGTCAACGTGTTCTGACTGGCAACTGTCAGCTTGATAGGACAGCTAATGAACTTGCTAGCTGTCTAGCAACCAAATTCTATTGATTCTTCTTACATTGCTATCTAAATAAATTTAAGACTGTCCTTACTTCTAATTCTTTCAGAAAAAATTAAGATTTATTGATAGAATTTATATTATTACCCAACCACTTACCCCTGAAATTCTTCTCCCACACCACCCCCCATGTATAAACAGTAATTGAGTACAATTATAATAGAGAAAAAAAGGAAACAGAGAGGATATTCTTAAGCATGCAAGAAACAAAGAGTAAAACAGTACCCCTTCTGATTTAGCTCAGAGTAAAATGTTCCTCCAAATCCTAGACTATAATATGGTAATTACAGTCAAATATTTGTAGGAAGATCACTTCCTTCACCAACCCTATTACGATAAAAGTTGCTCTAGCCTTTTATTTTAGATTTTCTAAATATGGCTAAAGAGCCGGCCTGTGGCGGCTCACTTGGGAGAGTGTGGTGCTGATAACACCAACGCCGCAGGTTCAGATCCCTATATAGGGATGGCCAGTTAGCTCACTTGGAAGAGTGTGGTGCTGACAACACCAAGTCAAGGGTTAAGATCCACTTACCGGTCATCTTTAAAAATAAAATAAAATATAATAATAAATAAATAAATAAATAAATAATGTCTAAAGACTAGTAATGCAAATACAGAATTAGATAATTTACTTTAAAATAATTTAAGGAATCTAATAGTTTAATAAAGTTTGACTTTTACAACTTTTTAATTGCTCATTAAATCAATATACTAAAGGTATAAATAAATATACCTGCTATACATTTGCTTGTCATTCCTCATGACTAATGTTTATTCTCAGCAAAATTCAGCACCAAATAACATTTCTTACTTTATTTACTCAGCTAGTAAATATACTGAACAGAGTGATACAGTATAACTAAAATCACTGAATATAAACTTACTTTTCAGCAAAATCTTTACTTCCCCATTCTCTTTCTTGATCTCATTCATTACTTTATGCTTCTTTTTTTCTCTCTCCTTTTCTTTGTCTCTTCCTTTAATTTTGTCTTTGATTTTATCTGAAAGACAAAATAAAGGGAATGTTTGAAACTATTACAATTTTATTTTTCTCCATGAACTACAGTTCAATTTCTAGAATTACAACACACAAAGAAAATCAGAATGAGAAACAAATATGCCTTTTTTTCTTCCTCTCAGGTTTTGGGGAATATGTCTAAATTTCCTTTCTTACTGAACATGGATTTCAAAATTTATCATTATATATTTCATTCTAATGTTTATTCTTCACTTACTTCATCTCAACCAAAATACAATATTAGACTAATTTCAAGTCACTTAAAATAATAGGCTAACTTTAATCAAACAGAAAGCTAAAGCGGAAAAGTGCTAACTTTTATATCGGGCATACCTTGAAAGACAACTCTCCCCACCGCCCCCCACCCCCACCCCCCAAAAATAAAAGAAAATTGAGCATATCTGGATTGGTAACTTAAGATTGGGACAATTTCTCAATCTCAGTTTCCTAAAATGTAAAATGGTGGCTGATACCTTCTTCATAGGGTTACTGTAAGATATAAATGAAGAAAGATATAAAATTAGTACACAGAGTCTGGCATATATAAAACTAGATGTTAGTTCCCTTACCCTTTCACCTTTTAAAAAGAATATGACTGATCTGACTAGCTGATGATATTGTTATATTAAAGTACATAACAACTCTAGGAATCACTGATCTGCATTCTAAAATTTCAAACTTTGATTTTACAAAATATTTGATATACTATTCTTACTTGTTCAATCAACTTCCTATGCACCCAGCAAATGGCAAAATATACAGAAAAATGTAAAAATAGTGACACAGTTCTTGTCCTACAAAAGCTTACTGTTGACTACAAAGCCATGACGGAAACACACTAAAGCTGTAAAATATTCTGAAACATAATAGAGATTACATAGTGTATACACATACTGCATAATCTCTTAAAAAATCCCTCCTTACTTTCCTTTCTATAAATACCACTCTAATCTGGGTCTTAATCACCTAAAGATTAGATTACTGTCTAGATCAGCACTGTCCAATAGAAATATAATGCTAGCCACATATGTAAATTTACATTTTCTAGCAGCCACATCAAAAAGTAAACAGATGAAATTAATTTTAATAATATACTTCATTTAACCCAAAATATACAAAACATCATTTCAACATGGAACTGATATTTTAAAACTACTGAGATATTTTACACTTTTCTTAATAATAAGATTTCAAAATCTTGTGTATATGTTATACTTATGACACATCTCAGTTCAAACTAGCTCCACTTTAAGTGTTCAATAGCCACATGAGACTTGTGGCCACCATGCTGAACAGCACACGTCTAGACTACTTAAATATATAAATTCACAAAAAATTAAATCCATGTGCTTAATTAACATTTTAAACTATACCCATAATAATAAAAACTATAAATTTTAAAAAAGATACTTTTCACACATCAAACTGACAAAGTGCTTTTTTAAAAAAGTGATAACACTCCAAGCAGTTGAGAGAACTGTTAATGGTACAGCAAACCAAAACAGGGATTTACTGACTCAACAAATATGCAGTTCTGAGTATAAGAAAAGGATTAGAACAGGTGAATAAACTAGATAACATCCTCGTCTGTTCACATATAACAAACTCTAGAATAGATTAAGCTACTTTCACAGTACTGATTAGTTTGCTACTCTTACTTTCTGATGTTTAAAGTACTTGAAATCCTGTCATAGGCTGCCATACATCTATAAAATGTTACTCCAAATACCTAGAGCTTAACCACATACGTAGGTTAATATTTCCTAACTAACCATTTTTTTATTTTTATTTTTTGTCTTTTTTCGTGACCGGCAACGGATCGCAACCCTCAGTGTCGCGCCCGTACCGGACCGGGACCGGCAACGGGATCGCAACCCTCGGTGTTGCGCCCGCACCTTGCTCAGCCAGTGAGCAGCCGGTCTGTACGTGGGATCCGAACCCTCGGCGGGAGCACCACCGCGCTCCCAAGCGGCGCACTGTAGCAGTGCGCCACCGGGCCGGCCCCCAACTATTTTTTTAAAAATGAACTATTTATATATCATTTAAAATCACAACTGAAGAAAAGTCATCTGAAATGTCTACATTTCTTTTTCCAATTATCCATGTTAATCTTGTTACCCTAAAGTGTTACTTCAATAACTATTAAATTTTTAAAACTTTATTAAAGTATAATACACATATAGAAAAACGTACATAAGTGTACAGCTTGATTTTCACAAAAATGAAACATACTTGTGAAACAGCACCCCAGAATCCTTCTGTGTTCCCTTCCAATCTTTAAGTAGTACCCTTAAAGGTAATCATGATCCTGACTTCTAACCACATAGATTAAAATAACTATAGACATATAATGGCATATAATCAGAATATCATACACTATAAGCCCACCACAATCACAAAATATAAATATTTTTCAGAATAAAATTAAACTATTATTATCAGGTAATAACACCATAGCACAGTATGACCCAATTATTTTAAAACTTACAGGTTAACATACATATTCAGAAAAAAGACTGAAAGATTATAAAAACCATTAATTTTAAGTGGTGGAAATTTTCTAAGATTCTGCAATGGGCACAGATTATTTTTGTAACACAGGAAAAAGGGTCTCAGAATATGCATTTGACTATGACATAAATAGTTCAAGTAAAGATAAGTTGAAGATATGAAGTACATATATGAAAAACATCTAAAGAAACAAAAACAATGGCATAGCCAAGACAGAAGAATCACTGACAACATAATTACAGTTATCCTCTCCCTACACCCAAAATCTTCCCAGCAAACACAAATCATCCTATATATACATAACAGGAAAACATTTTTGTGGCATTGCTGCTATCCCAACCCACACACTGTCTTGTTCCCACCTCTCAGCCTTTCAACCTACCTTTCATCCTTCCTAGAATTTTTTGCTTCTTGTCAGAGCATATTGTTTTTCAAAATCCAACCTTAAATGTCTCCATTAAATTTCCTGTAATCATGTTTACCTGGCACAGCTATTAGAAAGTGGAAAGCCTGCAAGCTCAGAAGACCTAGGTTCAAGTTTATGCTCTGCAACTTTGATAACTGACAAACTTCTAGTTCTCCAGTTTCAGCTGTAAAATGAAGTTTGTGTAAAGATTAAATAGGACATACAAAAACATTTTGAAAAGATAAAAGTCTTCCAAATGTAGAATATTTTCTGTGTCTATCTATTTATCCATAATACTGGGACATAATAGTTTTTAACCAGAATTCAGAACACTGTCTATAAAATCTCAAGTCTGCTGCTACCACACTGTAATGTATTAATATTTATAAAAGTTACTTCTAAATCTTTTCAAAAGGAAGAGATTATGATGGAAAACAGCGCTCTAGCACAATTGTTTACTGTAATACACTGTTCCTAAATGAACTGTGGTCCTTCTTCACCTTTTATTCATTTTTTTTTTATGACCAAGAATTTGTATAGTTTTATCCGTCATGGTCTAATCTAATCCACATCCAAATACCAAAAAAAAAAAAAGAATCTAGACACAGATCTTATATCCTTCACAAAAATTAACTCGAAGTGGATCACAGACCTAAATGTAAAATGCAAAACTATTAAAACTCCTAGAACATACTATTAAAACTCCTAGAACATAACATAGAAGAAAACCTAGATGACATAAGGTTTACCAACAATGTTTTAGATACAACGCCAAGGCACAATTCATGGGGGGGAAAAAAGAATTAATAAGTGGGACTTCATTAAATTAAAATTTTCTGTTCTGCAAAAGACACTGCCAAGAGGATAAAAAGAGAAGTCACAGGGAGAAATATTTGCAAAAGACGTATTTCATAAAGAACTGTTATCCAAAATAGAAAACTCTTAAAACTCAACAATAAGAAAACAAACAATCCAATTAAAAACTGAGCCAAAGATCTTGACAAACACCTCACCAAAGAAGATATACATTTGGCAAATATGCACATGAAAAGATGCTCCACATCATGTCATCAGGGAAACTGAAATTAAAACAACAATCAGATATGGCCCAAATCCAGAACACACCACTACCAAATGCTGACAAGGATGTAGAACAATAGTAACTCTCATTCATTGCCAGTGAAAATGCAAAATGCTACAAGCACTTTGGAAGACAGTTTGGTGGTTTCTTACAAAACATAACATATACTCTTATCATATGATCCAGCAATCACACTCCTTGGTATTTATTCAAAGGAACTAAAAACTTATGCCCACACAAAAATCTGCACACCAACGTTTGGAGCAGCTTCATCCATAATTGTGAAAACCTGGAAGCAACCAAAATGTCCTTTAGTAGGTGAATGGATAAATTAACTATGGTACATTCAGATAATGGAATATTCTTCAGTACTAAAAAGAAATGAGCTATTGAGCCATGCAAACACATACAAGAACCTTAAATGCGTATTACCAGAGAAGACAGTCTGAAGAGGGTACATATTGTATGATTCCAACTATATGACATTCTGGTAAAGGCAAAATTATGTATACTGTGAAAAGATCAGTGGTTGCCAGGTGTTGGAGAGGAAGGAAGGGATGAATAAGTGCGGCACAGAGGATATTTAGGGCACTGAAACTACTACTCTGTATGATACTGTAACGGTAGATACATGTCATTACACATTTGTCTGAACTCATAGAATGTGTAATACCAATAGTGAACCCTAATGTAAACTACGAACTTTGGGTAATTACGATGTGTCAATGTAAGTGTATCAATTATAACAAATGTACAACTCTGGTAAGGGATGCCGATAACGGGGACGACTGCATGTGTGGAAGCAGAAGGTATATAAGAAATCTCCATACCTTCTGCTCAATTTTGCTGTGAATCTAAAACTGCTCTAAAAAATAAAGTCTATTTTTTTTTAATGCATAAGTAAATATACAGGGAGGTAGGGACAAGGGGAAACAGATGCAGTTTGAACCCAAACAGGCAAAAGGAACATAAGGATGGAAGAAAG